TCAAACCCTTCTACAAAATCCTCCCGCAATCCTCGCCGATTAGGATCATTTCTATTGTACATCCAAATACGATGTTCCATCTATACAAATAAAAATAATTTGAGATATTTCCATAAGTATTACAACTACTTAATATATTCTACAATTATAAATTAATCAAATCATTTTTAGTTAATTAAGATAATTAATTTTTAATAATTACACCCAAAAGGTTCAACATCCCTAAAAGTTCAATTCACATCTAAAAGGTTCAACCATTACCCTTAAAAGTTCAATTCATAGCCTAAAAGTTCAACCCATATCCTAAATAATTCAATTAATACCCTAAACAATTCAATTACTCCTAAAAATTCAATTCATACACTAAAAGTTCAATTTACAAAAACAAATCCTAAAAACACAATTCAATTCAAAGTTAAACATTCAATTCCTAACAAAACTACTCAGTGTCACACCTGCTTTTTCCCGAGGGATAGGGAGTTTTTTCAATTAAAGTGACATTATTAGAAATGAGATTATTTATTTAATTTAGAGTCGCCACTTGGAATAATTTTTATGGTGTCACACCTCCTTAAACTCTCTTTTTGTAAAAATTTAGGGAAAATTCCTTGTTCCACGATTGCTATTAATATTCAGTCCCACTTCGAACTTAGCCATGCTTTTAAATGGAAATTTCATCAAATAAGGTAGCACTAAGCAGATCTGCAGAAATTCAATGAAGATTCAACCAATTTCGGATTGGAAAACATATATTTTAAAACCTAGAATGAGCAGATAACCAACAATAGGAGTCATAATTAAAACAGGAATTAAATTACTTCGTACAAGCATCATGTTTTGAATTACTTCCCAGTTTTATCACTTTCCAAATTGACAACAAATTACATTTATTACATATTTCAATAGCAGAAAATCAGGAGCTAGACAAATTAACAAAGATTAATCAGGAATCAACGGTTTTAGTTATTCAAATGAAAGCATAATACAAGGGGTTTAAAACTTACCTAATCAAACAATGAGATAACTGAGATTAACCAAATGAAGGCAAATACAAATTCGGATGAAGCTCAGTGAAAATTTCAGCAACCAACAACAGAAGTTCGGCAATGCTTCAACATAGAATAGCTTTAGAAAACCAGAACCATGAACATCAGCTTCCAATAATGACAGAAATTCGTTGTTTTAGCCTATTTCCATATGATTTTGTTTGCCTTTTCTTTTCTTTTTGCTATTGAAATTCGTTTTCGATCCAGAATCTAATTTTGGCTTTGTTTATGAAGCTCATTTGAGGAGGGAGGCAAAATTGGGTGGCTGCTCTAGAGAGAAGAAGAAAAAGAAGAGGAGGGAGGCGGGTAGGGTTTTGGTGTAGAAGAGGGGTAGAAAATGGACTGGGGCGAGTGTATGAAGGTGAAGAGAGGAGGGAGTTAGAAAATTTTGAGAAGAGAGTACGAGAAATGATGGGGGAAGTCCCGTATTTGGGATCTGGATTTAGAATTACCGACCAATGTTGGTCGATAATTTTGGTCAGTACACTAAGTGACCGGGCGTTGACTGTGTTTGACCATTAACCGACCAACTTTGATCGGTTATTTTTTAAAATAAAAACTAAATTATTTTTTTTGTGTTTTTATTTCTTAAAATATTATAAACTATAAAAAATTAATATAAACTATAAGCATTTATTTTATTCACATATATATTTACTATTCATAATTATAAACTATAAGCATAATATTTATAAATAATTATATTAACTAATATATATAATTAATCAAACATAATAAAAAAATAAAGGTATATATATGAGATATTTATTTTATTCGAATTCCACATTTCGTCTTATATATTCATTCGTTTTACAACTAATTACAAATCACATAGATTAATAAATATCGGTCAAGACGTTTTACCTTTTGTATTCATCTATCTAAGTTAATTTTCTAAGTTATAATTAAGTATATGAGTAATTTCACACATATATACACATATACTATATTGTATTTGATGATCAATCACATACATTACTAAGTACGAAAACTTTATCAATTGATGAATTGATAAGCCAATATTATTCTATTTTAAATATGATTAGTCCATTGTTATATTAACTCGTTTACTTAATGCTAATAACTTCTTTCGTTTCTTTAATTTGTAATCCATATATACATGTTAAAGATGTTCAGTATTAATTCTTCTGCATTTCATTCATTCATCACTAATAATGCATGACATAGATTAATCGATATAGGTCGAGACATTTTATTTTTAATATTCATCGATGCATCTAAGTAAGTTATAAGTCGATGAATCAATTTACAAATAGATATATTTGATGATGATCAATTATATATACTAATTAGATTATTTCTTCTTCACAAGTATAGCCCCAAAAGAACCCGACCTTGTGGCCCTAGCGCTTCTTGTTCTTAGATGCGGCTATACCTATATATATATATACACACACACACTTTATTGTACGACTTTAACTATATATAGCTTGTTATAGTATATGTTAGGTTATTCATTATTTGTATTACAAAATAGTGTTAACGAATGACATTTATATTATTTAGATAGTAANCACACACACACACACACACACACACACACACACATACTTCGTTGTACTACTTTAACTATATATAGCTTGTTATAGTATATGTTAGTGTATTCACTATTTGTATTTCAAAATAAAGTGTTAACGGATTACATTTATATTATTTAGATAGTAAATATTAATGTGATTCAAAAGTTTGACCATGTTTGACCTATGAACCGACCGAAGTTGGTCGGTTATTTTCCAGAAATTACATTTACCGACCAACGTTGGTCGGTAAAATCTTCCCTTGCAATAACCGACCAACTTTGGTCGGTAAATTTAACTATAAATTTTATAAAATATTTTAAATAATAATATAATTATTAAAATTTTAAAAAGTGGGTCCACATTATGTTGGTCGGTAATCAAAAAGGTATTTTGACTAAGCAAGTTTGACCATTGCGGTAAAATATTTGACCAATTTTGGTCGGTATGTAATTTTTAAAAAAATATAAAATATTTTTTTGGTAGTTTCTATCCATATTAGACGGTTTTTTTGTCGCTTTTATTGACCGACCAACGTTGGTCGGTATCACTTGGTCGATTTTTTTCGAATTTCTAGTAGTGCAACTCACTTTAGATTTGATATACCTCTTCAAATATCTGAAATAACCATCACAAATATATCAAAGCAGATCAACAGTGCTAACTTTATAAGGAAAGCAAAAGTGATAATATGAGATGAAGCGCTTTTGGCTAAGTGTCAAACGATCGAAACATTCGCCTAGAGTTTTAGAGATATATTGGATATCGATGAACCGTTTGGTGGAAAAGTAATAGTTTGGGAGGTGATTTCTGTCAAGTACGATCAGTAGTTCCAAAATTGACCAAAGCAGAAACTGTAAAAGTTAGCTTGCCAAAATTATACTTATGACCTCAAATGAAAAATATTCAAATGACAAGAAATATAAAAGTAAGAACATATCCAACATTCAGTGACTTCTTGCTTCGTGTCGGAACGAAGAAGAGCATCCAGTAAAAGATGATTTGGTTCTTCTAGAACAGTTGGTTATCAACTCCAATGATAATAGTAGTGCATTTAATAAGAAAAATATTTTCATCATTAGATTAAAACGCAATTTGTGCAAATTACATGATATAAATTAAAGAGTTATCTTAGCTAGCAGAAATGAATATATTGATCAACTAAATAAAAGGTTGATTGCTAAGTTTTATGGTAGCAATAAAATATTTTTTAGTTTTTGACTCAGCAGAAGATGATACCAGCAATTACTACTAAGAAGAATACTTAAATACTTTAATACCAAATGACCTTCTACCGTACATGTTTGTTGTCAAGTTCATTATTTCTTACATATGTTAGTGTCGCTATATATATAATAGACTAAGTTAAAATTGATCTTCCATTGCATATAGGTTGATTTTGAATAAAAATATGCCTGTCATGCTTCTGAACATTTAGATCCGCTGAATAACTTATGTAATAGTACGCATATGGTATATAGAAGTTTTGACAATAACGTCATACATATAGAACTTATGATACTGGTCAATGTGCTTCTAAGTATGTGTTTATCCTCGAATTCAACTTTCGTCTTCCGAAACTAAAGAACATCCTTTTAAATTTGTGTGAAAATAATTTTCAATATGTTTATGTTTTGTAATTATAATAAATAAAGTAATAAATAAAGCACAAGGACAAACATCCTAAATATTGGATTATATTTACCACAATATATTTTCTTACACGAATAACTATATGTTGCACTTTCAATAGAGATATCAATATCGACAATAAGAGTTTTGGTTATGGTAGAAAAATCAAAGCATTAGAAGGAAACATATACAAAAAACACCATCTATAAAGAAGTGTTCGATGAGATACCATCACATTAGATAACTTTAAACTACAATACATAATTATCTACTTAACATGACTAAAATTGATCGTTTATGTAAGTTCTGATGATGTCCTTTCATTTTGAATTCACGTATTATACTAATGTAACAATATTTTTCGGCATTTAGATGATTGTTGTAGTATTAAATATAAAAAAATTTTCATTAATTAAATTTTATTGTTCCTTCATTTAAATAAAGATTTAAATCATCATGTGTCATTATTAACGTGCAACGCACATTTATAGATACTAGTATACTTATATTTGAAAATTCTCATTTTAAACTTCTCATTTTACCCTTAATAGCACGTTGGTATTGTAATAACAATGGCATGATCAAATGTTTACGGTCACAAGTTCTGATGGTACTACTTTTGGTATGTGCCAAAAATTGTGTCTTTCTTTTTTAAACTTGGTGATCTGCCAAGCTTCACAATATTAAATGAAACAGAGAGAGTACTATTCTTTATACCAAGGCACCCTTAATATTTTGCTCTTAGAGAGTACTCATTTATTTTTGCTTATGTTCTGTCCCATCATGACCAAATTTTCTTTGTATAAAATCAATTAAAAAGATACATATTTGCAACTCACGTTAACATATAAGATAGCTTGTTTCTCCTTTTCACACACACATTACATAACGAGCTCAATATTTACATAACCACTTTACTTAAAGTTGAGATAATCTGCAGTCAGGGGCTTGAACACATTGGACGCAGAGGCCTCAACCAATTCCAACTGCCATTTCAGCATGTGCATATAAACAACCCAATCTCCATTTCCTTTAGGACTCGGCATTGGCATCACATATCCTGCTTTCCCTTCCCATGGAAAATGATATGACCCAAACACTGGCTCTCCCCATCCAAAATCAATCTTCCCCACCGGAAACTGTTGCCCCGACGACACCACCACCGCCGGTGCATCTTCATTTGTGGCGTAGATTCTTGCTAAAGCTGGTTCTGGACGATGATCTTCCACCCAATTTATTAACCCAAGGAAATGTTCTTTAGTTTCTGCATGTTCAAGAAACTCATGAACTGCTCTTGCTACCCAACTTAAAGGTTTCTCCTTTAGTTTCTCCACTTTCTTCTCACCAAATGAGATGGAAAGAACATTCCCAAAATACCCTTTTAGTACCTTGGCTTGTTCTTCATCTCCATCGCTCAATCTACTCCTACCATTAACCACAATCCCAAACCTGAAGTTCTCGTAATTAGGAGTACTATTGTTTTCCATCCCATTGGCTATAGTTTTCCATAGGAAAGCACTGAATGTTTCAAGCTTAGTAAACCTGTGGAATTTTGTGCTAATCATGTCGTTATTACAACTATTTGCTAATGATTGGAGGCGGCTGATGTCTTCAGCCTTGACATAGTAAATTCTGCTTATAACTTGATCATTATCATCAATATTTGTGACAGCACGTGTTTCTTGTTTTAGGGCAGAGATAGGTATATACATGCTGTCTATTACCAAGGGATCGTAGTAGGAGGGACGCCGTGGAAAAAGAAAGGAACGTCGGAAAGATGGGAGCTGAGATAGTGGTTTGGACTGAGCTATTTCTGCCCATGATACGAGAAACAAGTTGGTTGAATAAGCATCAGCAACTCTATGATCAAATGTACAAGCCACCACTATTCCCCCACATTTGAGATGTGTAGCCTGCATTAATTATGTATTTGTGTCAAATCGGTAGAGATAAAATATTATCAAAGGATTTTAATATACTCGATTAAGTCATCTAAAAAATAATTATAAGCTAATTACGGTCCATAAAGTGTGCATTAAATACATGGCACAATATGTGCTACAATGGTTTTGGATGTTGTAAATTTTGTATTGATTAAAATCACTGAGTTCCACTACAATTAAATATTATTTTTGACTATTTAGGTCACTAATTTGGATATTGCTATTTGCACGTTCTCAATTGAATGTTCAAATTTCTTTCTACCTATTATGATAAACAGAATTTAGACATATAATCCATGCAAAAGATTACTTTGTAATATACTATCTTCTCTATTTTATCTAGAATGAAGCAACAATATTACTCCACATATCCCTTGACAGATTTGAAATGGAGGTCATCAAAAATTAGGTACCTCTCTCATGTTAAATTTTATCACCTTTTTGTTTTTTGCTATAAAAAAAACACACAAAGAATAGTAGGTAAAAAAGTATATCTAAAGTTCGATTTGATCAGGGAAGACTTTTCCATTGAAGACAAAGTATGATCAGTATTTAAATTGAATGTACACTTTTTGGTTTTAGTTTGTACTACCAATATAATGTCTGCTTTCCTAAAAGGTAAACCTTTTGAATACAATATAATACTCAGAACAAAGTTCTATGGGCTTATTTAACTATTCTTCATTTACTTCCTGGATTTGACTGGAGGGACAAGTGTTATACATCCTCTTAAATTGGAGGGATTTAAAAAAAAAACTAAAAAGAATGAAAAAACCTACAGAAAGGCGCCACTTGATCTGCAAACAAACAGTAAATAATTCAGCTTTGCGATTCTTCTTCTAAAAGCATTTCTTTAAAACATTCAATTTCAAATAGAGGGAGTTCAACGTTTCTGTCATGCATGTCAGCTTTTGCATGAAAATGGCTTAGACGACTATATATATTAGTCCTACAGTCTGTGCGGCAATTGGAAATTTATTACACAACCTACAAAAGAACTCTACATGTATGTGTTTACATTTTTATATTATTTGTGAATTGAGCTGAGAAACCGAGGAAGGGCTTTCAAGTTCAGGTGTCCAGATATTTTGGGACGGCAAAAGTGTCCTTTATAGGAGTACGGATTAAGAGTTTAACATATACTGAAAGTGTAAAAAAGTTACACTCTTAAAGTCAATTAAAAGATAATTACAGAAATTTGTCTATAGACTATAGAATTAAAACCTGAATAACGCAAATTATATGAGTACTGAAAAGTTGAACTTTGCACATGCAATTATGCATAGGTGATAGGACACATGCTACTTGTAAAATAGGAGAAACTTCACAACAAAAAAACAGTACCTGAACGGCTAGTACACCGTGCTTCTTCTTTGGTACAAGCTTACCCTCTATGCTTTCATCTGGATTATACAAGTTGATTTCTTTGAGCTCTACATCAGCCCAAGCTTCTGTGAAATTGACTCCCGCATTGTTGCAAAGAATTTCGGGCTCTCCAGCAAGGTTCTGAACTAACTCCCCTGCAAATGCATAATAGGAAACCAAGGTTTCAGCCAAAGAAACCTTAAGAACTTTGATCATTGACCCAAATGAATATTTTGGTAACCCAGAAATAATGGGGTTCTGATAACAAATGAAAACTCCAACGTCCATTGGAGGCAAGAGCAAATCAAGATTTGACTGTGGTAGCCAATGCTCTTGCATTGGCAACGATGCTGCCACCACCTCAGTTTTGATCACATTCACATTGAAGTCCCTTTTGGCACCCATCTCACTTCTAATATGTTTTTTTTTTGCTTCTTTCTTCTTTTAGTTGAACTCACAGAACTCGTTCTAGATTTACTTTTGAGGACTAATCTTTACAATGGTGTGAGTGTGTGCTTTAGAGTAAGTGATGGGTGAAATAATACATGCATGGAACAGTTGTATTTATAACGTTCAAACGTAGGTGGGAGATATATATTATAAGGTTTAATAAGAGGTGAGATAAATAGAGAAATGGTAAAGTTTCTATGAGGTTGTACTAATAGAACTGAGGACGATCGATGGGGTGGTTGAGAGTTTCTAGAGCACGTTACGTTACTATACCACAAAGAATTTAATGCTTTTGGTAGAACTATACGATAATGAATCCTTAAAAGTTGGCATCCTAATGATAATAATTCCATCTTCTTTCACTTGGTAGGTCACACAATTAAAATATCACAAAAGCTAAAGATGCTCTCTCTCCATCCTTATTTGATGATTCTTGTTCGACTCGATGCACTTCGCAAAAAGATGAGTTAAAAGCACTTTATATTATAAAATCCACACTCGGAGTCAGGGTTCCAGGATTGAAACTCGAGCTATTATTTTTAAAAATAGGATGACAGTAGTAGTATTAATTTGAGAAACAGGTGAATTTGTCTGTTAACTTTTGCCGTTCCGGAGGATAGAATAAAGGAAAACTAGTGTACTCCATTGGAAATAGTAAAAATAAATCCTGCATAACTTAAAGTTGTAAGATTTTTTTTGTAACTTTCATTTCAAGAGGTGAACTCTATCTTGAAACGGTCAAAAGAAGATTAGTTCTACTATTATGTGTGGCTAAAAAGAGAAAAGAACAAGATACGATACAAAGTCTTGAGGAGAAGTTGGTTTCCTATATCGTACAAATTTTTATGTAAAATTATGATCACGGGACTTAATGAGGACGTAGTGGTGCATATCCGTAGATATAGAGTCAAAAGATGTTAAAACAAAAATTTACAAAATCTTAACAAAGGAGAATTAATTTTGGAGAAACCTATGGCAAGCATCCCGTTTAACAAAAGTCCGAAAACGTAAGACCAACAAAGAGATTGTACTTAAACTTGAGGAAGTAACCAAGTCAAAACCTTTGAACTTTGTTATGACAGAAGGTGAGGAATATTTGAACTATCTTTTACCTTTTTTTTCTTAAAATTTCGCTGTTACTTAAATTTCATTGATACCTCCGCCTCGCACATCTGTTTTGGCCTTTTTGTTCGTTTCCTTTTGTCAAGAACTTTCTAGCAAGTCTAAGAACTTCCTATACCTGATATTCACGTCATCTATCAGATAAATCGGCATGAAATAACAGCCGCACTTGATTGGAACTGATATTGATACTAGGTGTTGCCTGTGTGGGCCAAAAAATACTTTTGATATAAGCAAGCCCGTCAGCATCATGATAGCATTCATCGGCTGCCACGTATTATTAGTAAGATTTCAACAAAGACCTGCTCCAGGTCGAAGTGGCCTTTAAGAGATAAAGGGTGCGGTCGAAGAGTCAGTGAAGACCAGGGTCAAGGTCGAGAATCTTACACTACTAAAATTTCGGCCAAAACAGACCGCGGCAAACCAATCGACTTCGGTCGGTCAAAAAACCGACCGAAAAACCGACCAAAGTCGGTCGGTATTTTAAAATATTTTATTTTTTAACTTTTATATTGAAACCGACAAACTTCGGTCTATTTATTTTTGGCACAAAAATGTGGGAAACTATTTTGGCGTCCCGCGAAATTTATTTTTTAAGAAACGAACCAACTTTGGTCGGTTTTTCATATAAAATTGATGAGCGCAAAATACATACTTAAATTCTGCCCGCTAATCAAATATAGTATAGTATAATATCGTGCCCTCAGGGATTGGATTTAAACAGTATTCTCGTAGTTTTTAGCTTGGTTGCTATCCAAGATGATCAACAACTGAGATTTATAAGATGTCTAACTAAAATTAACTAAGAATCTAAAGCTATTGACTAATGACAATCGAAACAAGGAATAATCAAAGAAGGTTATCAATGGGAGAAAATAGGATTTTAATAGGATATGTGCAACATAATTTTTCGGGATCTAACTCTAGATAATTCACTTCTAATGTCCAAGTGAGTCTCTCGAATTCACTTAATTATTTTCAAACGTTCAACAAGAACTCCTCTCTCTCGACTAAGTCTTAACCTCACAAGATGAACCAATTTAAGCACGTGAAGATATGCAAGAATGCATAATAGATTGGTTTTTAGGAAAACCTCTTTCAATTATTCTCCTAACTAGGTTTATTCGATGATCTAACTAGCCTCTTTCGATTACTAAGAAGAATCTATGAACTCAACCGACAATATAATGCAAAGATATCACTAGTTATGCCTCTCTCGATTACATGAACAAGTGAATATAGATGCAATAATTAAATCATCCAAAAACGCTTCAATACATAAAACTAGAGTTATAATCCACAAACAATCATCAAGACACCAAATCCATCAAACCCTAAAAGTAACTACTCCATAGAGGAAAATAAAGTATAGGAAAATGGTCTAGTGGTAGAATAGTATTCTTCCACAGTCTTATACCAGAATGTACTGGTATAAGACATTCTACTCCATAGTATTCTACTCCATAGACATGATATAAGACTGGTACCAGAGTGTACTCCATAGAATGTACTTTAAAGAGTACAAAAAAAATAAAAGGTAGTCTTATACCAGAATGTACTAAATGGTCTAGTGGTAGAATAGTATTCTTCCACAGTACAGACCCCGATTCGATTCCCAGACGGTACATGATTTAATTGCATAATTATTTTTTTTTTGTTTGGTCATTTGTGAAATTTTATTGACGACCGAAATCGGTCGGAAATTGCGATCGATTTCGGTCGCTATTTATTACCGACAACCTAATTTTGACGAATTAAATTTGGTCGGAAATCAGTCAATTTTTCCAATTTTTCGACCGATTTCGGTCGGTATTTCTGGATGGTTTTAGACAGCTTTCTAGTAGTGTCAGACAGAGTTATAACGACTAGTTTTAGGATAAGACATAAAAAAAAATATTCTAATAGATATTCTTTGCACATGTTCTATTAGAGTTTTTATGAATATTTTCCCTATCAATAGAAAGAGATATAATGATATGGGACATAAGATCTTCACTTGTAAGAAAATATATTGACTTTAGAGAGAGAATCTGGCCATATTACAAGCATACAGAAACAACCTTTTTACTAAGATATTTGTCTAACTTTCCATTTGATCCAAGAACAACCTGAGTGTTCAAAGGCTCATCAATCATTCATCATTGTCAGAAAGAATATCTAAGTTTCCAGCCCTTTTTGGGTGACTCACACATTCTTATTTACTTAAATGTCACTCATTGCTATTTATTATTATTTAAAGCTATCTTTCACTTTTTTGAATCATTGAATATTGTTAGTGTTTCTCACATTTTATGTCATTCGATCAAATATACATATTATCTTCCACAAAATTGATAATCTTGTCTTTTGGATATTAATATTAGCTAAGATTAACTCTATTTTATTTAAATCTAATTGGTTGATCCCAAAACTAAATTTTGGGTTAAATAGTTTGGCGTCGTCTGTGGGGATTTCTTAGCTAATTGTTTTTAGTTTTTCTTAGATCTACAACTCACATGAATTGCTAACCTAACGAACTACAAGGTTTTTCTCTTTCTCTGCACATATGATAAGTGGGGATTTTGACTACTTATTAGTATTTTTTATCTTTTATTTTAGTCCAAAGGCGTTTAATTGTGTTTCCGAAAACTAATAAAATGTGCTTAATTGAAGGAATATTGGAAGATGAACTCCCGAGATGAAATTCAACTCAAAAGGGAGTAATTTAAACTCAAGGACATAATGGCACAGAAGCTTAGAAGTGCGGACCGCAGAATATCCTCTACGACCGCAGATGATGAAGGAAAAGCCAGCAGAGTTTGGTGCAAATCCGCACATGAATTGTACGGCCGCAAAAGCTGGGCCAGGAACAAAGTTCAGAGAATATGCATTCGAAGTCTATCAAAAATGCGGACTGCAGAGGAATCGTGACCCTCCCTAGGCACCCGAGCTTTCTTTAACACTCTTGTGAAATAATTGGCTAAAAATGTAAGTTTGGGGAGAGACAAGGAGCTTGAAAGATGTATCAAGGCACAAAAAGAGAAAAGAAATGAAGAGAAGGGAGGGCAAGAAAAGGAAACAAAATGCAAAAAGATAGTGAATAAGTTGAAGAGTTGGAGGGATTCAAAGAAAAGTAATGATGCAAAGCATGGAGAAATGAAAGAAGGAGAAAATGAATGTCATGATCAAGAAAGAGTGATGATAAGTCTCTCTAGTTCCCCCAAGAAAAAGAAAATGCCTCAAAGAATTGGCAAAGCGTGAGCCAAGAACAGAAAATGGAGTGCTTAAGGAAAAATGAACCCGTTCTATCATAGCATATCCAACCTTAGTCCAAAAGCCTTTATTGCATTCCGAAAAAGCCCTATGTGATTTCAAGCTGAGTGAGCTTACATTAGTGGTAATTTATATGAGGGGCAAGCCTATGGTACTTAAAGCCGTACTTGCGATAATATTTTAAGAGAGATGAGTGAACCTTTCGCAAACCTTTGGATTTAGTGCTAAAATTCTTAAGCGAGATAGGAAAACGGAGAGTAGAGGAGGAGAAGTTTGGGATCCACAATAACATACATGAAAGAGCGAGCTTCCTCGATAAGTAAAGTCAACTCTTGATGCTCAAGAGTCACATTAGAACTGTTTGTGCATAAAAGTTTAACTTGTTGCCTTGTTGGTAATTCATAAGTGGTGTGGGTAATTGTTGGTCCTAATTGATGTATGAATTACTCACTTTTGAATAGCTGGGAACTAATTTATTTGCTTGAGGACAAGCAAAAACATAAGTTTGGGGGAGTTGATAAGTGGGGATTTTGACTACTTATTAGCGCTTTTTAGCTTTTGTTTTAGTCAAAAGGCATTTAATTGTGTTCCCGAAAACTAATGAAATGTGCTTAATTACAGGAATATTGGAAGATGAACTCCCAAGATGAAATCCAACTCAAAAAGGAGAAATCTGAACTCAAGCACAT